TATCGATCATGCATCGGGTTACCTCGGGTTGGGTTTTTTTTTTTTTAAATTCGGGTTTGGTTGGTCGGGTTCATTGGGTTTTTGAGCACCCCTAGTGAGCATAGGATGTATGCTGTTTGGTCTCGAAGTGACATGATACAAGAACAACACGGGGGCAATGAAGTCGAAGTGACAGGCGGTTGACTGGTTCCAGAAACTGGTGTGAAGGCCAGTTCAAGAATAGGTGAAAGATATTCGGGTGGTGAATGATTGTCTATAGGAAGCAGCTGCAGGTTTGGAGGAAGTGTCATAGACGGATCAGTCGGAGAAATAGGCGTACTAGGAGCAGTTGGAGCTGTCTAGCAAGCATAGGTCTGGGTGTCAGCAACCGCTTGAGCAATGGGAGCTCGAGTATCCGACTATGAGGTGGTAGGAGAGATGTGACAGTATTGGTTGATGTCCAAGGTTGGTCAAAACCTAATAAATTAATGTTAGAAGCCCTGTGGGTGGACTGAATGAGACTTGTAAAGAAAGGTCTCATGAAACTAAACATTGCGACTAACATAGATACGACCTAATATAGGATCTAAGTATCTACAACCTTTATATCGTAGACCATACCCGAGAAACACACATCGAATTGAGCGACGGGAAACTTTGTTGGATGGTTTTGTAGGAAAGCATTCACACCCAAAAAATTCGTAGAAGCGAGTATTCAGGTGGTTTTTGAAACAACCTTTCAAATGGTGGGACTCCATCCAAGATTGGGGTGGGAAGTTGATCTGTAATATATGTGGCGGTGTAGATCGCATCAAGCCAAAAATGCCAGGACGGGTAGCCACAGTAACGTGCGAGTGACCTAGACGATTGTGCCAAATAGATCCTGGCGCTAGCTGAAATGAAAAAAATAGAGAAATTGATGGCGGAGGCGATGATGTAGTGGTAATCGGATGAATGCTATCTTTATTGGAAGCTTGCATTAGGATCTTCCCTGTGTGATTATCCTTAATGAACACACAACACTTTTCAAAACTAATAACACAATTATCATCTCGACACAATTGTTGAACATAAATCAAATTGTTTTTTAAATTGGGCACATGATGGACATGATTAAGATTCAAGGTGTGTTTGGTTAGAGGTATTAAACAATAATCAATAGGAATGAAAATAAAAGAAACAGTTTGGTTTACATAATACAATAAGCTCATACCCCAAACAGCCTCTCAAAGTTTTATTTTTAGACTCCAAAATAGTTTTGCCAATGTGTGCTATTGGGAGATGTGTACTTGAACTTTTTCTTGACCAAAGTAAATTAACTTTAGAAGAAATTATACCGTCATTACTGGTCATTTGATGGGATGTACCCGAGTTGGGTACCATAGTGACTTATTGGTTCTACCCTTGGGAAGAACCGATAAAGGTGGGAAAGTGTTATGAGTCTTGGCATAACGAGAGGTATAAGAGCAGCATGGCCTGGATGAAAAAATATTTAATTGACACAGTATAGAAGGATTGTTACTAAGCATCCCTCAACTGATGGATTGCTTGCAGTTATAACATTAAGGCAAAAATACTTTTAGATGACACAAATGGATTGAAAAACACTGTATCTATGGTGGTGGCATAAAATATTGCATGCTCCAATTTTGTACTTAAGGGGTATGGTATCGACCATGTCCCCTATACCTTGTTATCCTTACCAGATATCAATTGTTGTTGAAGTTAGAAGTTCGAGCGCTAGACCCAGAAGATTTGTGACCCAGAGCATTAGGTCCGGAAGTGGTGGTGGAACCGTTGAGATCTTGTTGACGTAGGTATTTTACCCACTGATCTTGAACGTGATTCTTCTTAGAAAATAGGTGATGGCAGTGACAAAGGATTCATAATCGGCACCTAATCCCATAATGGTGTGTTAAATCAGGTCATGAGAGGTAACCAGAGAATTAATTACAGCTAGTGAGTCTCCAAACATATTGATCTACTGCAAATATTGATCCATGGATTTAGTGTCTGTCTTGACCACCCTAGAAAGAGATCACTTTAATTCCGTTGATCTACAAGACTTCCATACATAAACCAAATTTGAAGACCTTCCCAAATTTTGATAGAAAACTTGACGTCATGCACATCAACTGTGGTTTCCTTTGACAAAGTCGTAATCCAACACCATATATTTTGATCAATGTGTAACCAAGAGGAATATTCTTGACTCAGAACTTCACGCTTAACATTATCAAGGACATGACAATAGACCCATCAATCATGCCCAAGAGAGCATGTGAAAGTAAAAAGCATTGAAACTGAGTATGCCAGGGTAGGTAATCTTTTGCAACGGTGAGAACTGAGAACCATAGTAACAATGTTTTTGATGTTAGGTGTAGAAAATGCTAGAGATGCACTCAATTGAGCGAGAGATCACCCAATCATTGCACCAACTATGATGTGCCTATCAAACCAATAAGGGTTGGACCCCCAAAAATATGAATGTTGGACAGCCCCAGATCAGCAGTTTGCTGAAGAGACGGGCGTTAAGATAACGCACTAGGAGGCATAAGTGTCCATGTAAACACTAGCATGGGAGATGGAGGTCGTACAGGAGATGGAGCAGAGGTCGACAACGGTGCTGAGTGATGCATTCCAGGGGAGCCGAGTCACTATAGAGTGGCAGTGGGTAGGACGACAGTAGCTGAGGCGGCAGCGACTGACTGCTGTTGGTTGAGATGTGCTGGAACGGTCAACCATGGTGGCAGCGACCGGTGGTGGGCTACTAGGTTTAAACTAAGAAAACTTTTTAATTCTGATACCATATGAAATATGAAAATAGCCTTAGACATTCTATTTATACAAA